AAGTAAAAATGCAAACTCTAGAATATTGTTTCACTTTATTTTATCCATTTGCAAATGTCATACCCAGCATTGAACATAATTGTTTAATGAAGTTGTGACCTCTTCTTAATAGAAAGGCTGAAAGAGATAATTAAAAATGATGGGCTCTGGTGAGATGGGTGTCTCTAGGTTTTCTATTTGAATCACAGAGGGAGCCTTGGCTCTCCAGAGAGAGGATTCAAAGAAGTTGAACCACCAGTATGCTGAGTTGCCTGAGAGTAGGAGGAGGGATTGTGTGGCTCTCTTCCACAAAAGGAGCCTGTAAACTGATTCCTTGTGAGCATCCTGAAGTGTTCCAGTGGTGCCTGCTGATGTTTAAGTAGCTGAGTGTTTTTGAGAATGCCTGGTGCCATCCTGATACCTCACAAATGAGAGAGAAATTGCAACTATAGCAATCCCACTTTCATCAGAGCGGGAAACCTGGTTTATTTGTTAACCAAAGACAAGGATTTTTTTTTCAGATTTCCCTAGAATGAAAGTCAATATCCTTCCCCAGTACTTAATCCATTTCATATTGGAAGCATTATATGAGATTAGTTTTGCACAAATCACATTGTGGGTTTGGTAGGAAAGGTTTCATATGGTTACAGTGAGGAAAATAAATGCAAATATGAGTCCATGATTTGCTGATGGCTTTTAATTCCCCTGCCTTTCAGTGGCATAGATGGAGAATTGGGTTAAGCTTCTGGGCATGAGCACAGCAGGTTTCTGTATTTATTCTGTATAATCTATTTTTTCCCTTTCTTTTTAATCTTTGTTTACTTGCCAGGCTTTCCTTCGTGGCCTCCTTTCTACTCCTGCATGCTGAGTTCTGCTTTCTCATGTTGTTTACTGTAGCTTAGACATTAAAGGACAATGAAATGGACATTTTAATCAATTAACTGTAGCCTGATCAAAGATCCTTTCTTCCTTATTGTTGCTGTTGTCGTTTAAAGCGTTTTTATTCACAACATCCAGTGGGGCTTTTGATTCGCAGGGTGTGACAAAGTCACTGCCTTGCACAGAGCAGTGAGCTGGAAGTCTAAAAACTGCTTTTGATCACAGCCTTGCTTTAATCACAGGTGGTGTCAGAGCTCTGAGCAGCTCAGCTCTGCTTGTGGGCTGATGCTGAAGGCAGAGGGGAGAGTTTTGGCACAGTGTTGTAAATGAAAATTTGTCCAGCCAAATTAATATGAAAACATAAATATTTATTTTGCAATCAAATTCTATCTAGCCAGCCACAAGGAAAGAACAGAGCCGAGCCCGGGGTCGGCCCTGGGTGTGCAACAAGGAGTCAGCCTCAGCAGAGGTTTTCCTCCATGCCCACACACTTCTATCCTGGCACAAGCGGTTTTTATAGGGAAAATTCTGCCTGAGGCCAAGATTTCAGCAATCAGTCTTTTCTTCTATTCAGAGTCCATATGTAAATAAGATTTTCTTTTTGGTGATGAGGGAGAACAATTCAGTGTCTGGAGTTTGTTGATTCACATGTATCTGCCCGAGGATTTCCATGAGATCCATCCCAGGTTGTTTATGCCATGATCAGCACCCGGGGTCCCGTATCTCCCCAGCCATGGCCCATCCCCATCTCCTGGCCAGCCGGACCTTCTTACTTGTAAATCAGTTTCCAAAATATATCCAGTCTCGCCTGCGAGGGTGGTGGGGAATCCTAATACAAACATGTGTACTCTAACAAATATTCAATATCACATATATCATATTAGAAATGGCACGAATTATATCTACTACGCATAAAACACAGCAAAGCAATCACTGAGCAGCGAGCAAAGGCAGAGAGGCTGAACCTCACACACCAGCCCTTCACCCAGCTGCCTTTGCCTTTGAGGCTTTGCTGAACGTTTTCCTCTTAAAAGGGAAAAAGAAACACCTTCCATCTCAGTTCTTGTCAAGGGGATAAAGGAGGGTGTTATTCACATGAGCTCACCTGTTTGTGAATATTCTGTGTTGGAAGGGACCCCACCAGGATTATCAAACCCACCTCTTAAGTGACTGGCCCATACAGAGATTGAACCCACAATTAAGAGTGGGTTTTAAATAGTAAATGAAAATGTAATTTAAATTTAGTAATTTAAATAACAAATTAAAGTAGGCTCTAAAAATTAAAAATAGGCTCTAACCAACCCTGTCTCAGAATTGGAATTTTAAAGTGCTTTACAACAACAACAACAAAAAAAATATACTTCATATCACATATTAAAGCACATTCTTCGCTTCCAAGATTATTAGTAAAAAGAAATACAAAAGCAAATAACAATAACCATTACAAGTACTTTATGAAATATCTTTAAACAAACAAAATTAAGTCATGCATTTTTTAATCAAAATACACAAGCACTCACACAAATGTTTCATATGTCCAAAGATCAAGCAAAAGCAATCATAAATGCTTGTCCTGTCAACTTGTGCAACCTTCTGTATCCACAGGAGCTGTCAATCCATGAAAATTGCAGATATCACAAAATATCTATCTTTTAAGAAATTAAAAAATATCCAGATATCAGTAGACTCCTTTTCAAGTATAGTTCTTACCTCCTTACATACAGAACAACTTCAGCCAAACATGTTTGTCATCACTCTTTATAAGCATTTACTTCCCTAGATATGCCTCAAAAAAAGAAAAATAGATAATATTCCAATGTACACAAGAAAAAAAACCCCACGTTTTTAATAAATGATTTAATTTAGTTTTTTCCTTTTAATGTGCTGCTTCCCTCAGCTGCCTTTTCTACCTTTGAGTATTATGCACAACAGAGCAAAGAAAAAAGTGCATCCTATAGCCCACCCAAACATTTGTGTGGGCAAATTTGGTGACTTTTTAAAAGAAAACATGACCTGAACATGCAGTGTCAATAATAACCACGTATTCCTTCTGATCCTATAGTTCTGAAGGCAGACAATTAATTTTCAGATTTCCACATATATATAAATGCACACAAGTAGGAAATGGGTCTGTTGTGTTTCCTGCATGTTTTTTTTCCAAACTATCTTCCCCACTGGCAGTGGTTAATGAAAAAGATTATTTTATTAATTAAACATTCAAAACAATACAGTTTGTTGCTGGCAGCCACTTGTTTGCAATAATCTTCTCTGCATCATAACCCTCTATTTTTGTATTTAATTGCTTTTCCCTTTCCCTTCCTCTGGAGCACTCTTTGAAAATCTCTCCTGACCTTTCATGCTGCTTTTGCATTTCAAGTAATTTCAGTTAAGAAATGTTTAATTATTAAAATAATCACTTCTGCTTTTAATCTGTTTATGTTTTTCTATCTAGTTCTTGATCCTCTGCTGTAATTCCTCATGATCCCAACAATGCCTGTGCTAAGGGGAGAAATGATCTCTCCCAATTCTTAGGGAGAGATCATTTCTTCACAGTTATAGGTCAGCCTTTAGTCTAACAGGAGCTTCCATCAAGCCACCTACCAAGGAAAATTGATCTTAAATAAAAGATAGTGTCAGGTTTGAGGTCACAGAGGTTTACATGCAGGTCAGAAACAAGAGAATGACCCCGCTTGAAATATCAGTGAAGGCTTCACCTTTCTATCATCAGGTGCACGGCACATAGAAGGGGTAAATTTGTAGGGAAAAATAAAATAAAATCAAATCCATAATGATAATAAAATAAAATAAAATAAAATAAAATAAAATAAAATAAAATAAAATAAAATAAAATAAAATAAAATAAAATAAAATAAAATAAAATAAAATAAAATAAAATAAAATAAAATAAAATCCATAATGAGGATGGTGATGCTCACAGCCTTTAGCAGAGAAAATCCATCTGTAGCTGTTCTGCTATAAAACTCATGACAAAGCTGCCAGGGCTTAAGACAAACATAATTCATGCCCAGCTTTTTTATACATTGAAACAAGCTTTATTTACAGATTTGATATCTCTGCTAGTTCTTCCTCTCTTTTTTTATTTTTTAAAGAAAATTTGGTATTTTCCTTGTGAATTTATTGAGAACCTAATATATCATATTCAGCCAAGCACAGACTTTTAGCCTCAAGATAATTATATGATACAAAAGCTACAAAAGGGGCATTTTTACAGATGTGGCTGTGAAGAGTTATCAAAACCTTCAAATTCCCAAACAGCAAATAACTGCTGAACCAATGGGTTTTCTGCAGATGTATAGATGTCATCTTCACTTTTCCTTCTTTTTTCCTTCTTTTCTTTACTGAGTAAGCAAGGGGGATTGAGTGAGTGACAGTGTGAGAGGATCCATCCAGAATAAACTCAGAAAGAAATGGGGGAAATTTGTTGCCACTCACTGTTTATTTTTTTACATCTCTTTCATTCTGAGCTGCCTCTGTTTTCCAGTAAGTCAGACTTTATGTATAATTCTACAAAGTTTAACATCCTGCAATATCAATCCCTGACTCATCAGACAGAAGATATGGAAGAGAATTCCTCTGTATTGCAATCTCTAATTAACCCTGGTGTAGAAACCCTGTGGTGAATCTTTAAATGAGCTTTAGCTAATTGCTCACCTCTGGAACACAACTACAGAGCAATGGAGCAGGGAATTTTGGGTCCTTCAGGGAAGATGGCTCTTTACACCTCTTGTCAAGGCTGTGACTAAATGTGATAAATTAGTTCTCAGTTTTTCAGTTTATTTACAGGTTTGCCTGACCACAGACAGAATATTTGAGAGAATTTTATTTAGGAACACCTGGGTTGCAATATCAATAGGCAAAATTGCTTGTAGTGTGTTATGCTTACCAAGGTTGTTCTCCCCCACAAAAAAAATCCCAAAAAACAATAAGGGTTTGGAAATTAATTTTATTACAAGGAAAAATAAACTAGTCGTCCTTATAAAATAAAAAAAAATAGGGAAAAAGAAGAAAAAAGAAGAAAAAGTCATGTGAAATTATTAATTTCCTGTAATTTAGTGTTGTAGAAATGCATTTGCACAATGTGCAGTGGTACTAAGCATTTATTGTACCTTTGCTTCCCACAGAGAATGGACTTCATTCTATTGGAGATCCCATCTCAGGCAGCCTAAAGTGATTATGGAGTAGCAGAGCAGCAGCAGCAGCATTATTGCTGTGGGGAGGGTTGATGCTCTTGGTTGCACTCATTTCCCCATGGGAAGACTTGCCTGCTTCTCCGAGCAGCCTTAATTACAAAGGTGAGTGTTGAAAATTACTGTCAGCAGGTAAAACAATGATAAAGTGCCAGGGAAGGGAAATCCTCCAGCTCTGTGAAGCTGCAGCCTCTTCAGGGGTAAATATTTGGGAGGCACCTGCCAGGTGGACTCACAAGAGATTACTTATGGACACAAAACTGTCTTTTTGTGCCCAGGGATTTTCTAAACTATTGAATTATATTCCACACAAGATAGGTAAGCATTTGCACCAGTGGTGAGTTGTTCAGTTTGCTAGATCACTGCCTGATTTTCACACAGGATTGTTTAGTAGTGAAGAAATTAAATTAAATGTGTAGCTCACACTTTGTATGTTCAGTTGACTATTTAGGTAAAAAATGAGGCTATAAACTCCCTTGTATGTTTAAATAAACTTGTCCTCTGTCCAGTGTTGTCAAAAAGGAGTACAGTTCCCCTGGGAAAAAAAAAAAAAAAAAAGTCACTATATGATTTAGCAGGAATTCCCAAGCTTCTCCAAATCCAGAACACCCAATTCGTGGGCTAAGCACTCATATTCTTTTAAAGATTTACAGTGATTTATTTTCAGTGTCAGCAACAGCATCATCATTACTGGAAGATCCAACTGTACCACATGTTACTTTAATAAATCATCAACCTTTAAAATCGATACTCCAATGAATTGAATCAAATGAAACCGTTTCTGCTGCACAGCTTCACCCACAAAGTCAAAACCTCTGCTGTCCAAGTTCATAAAATTTCTATCATCTGGTTAGACCAGAGCCATCAGACACAGTTCCCAGACTCAATGTCAAACAAACCTAATCTGTTGATAGATTTATATTTTTTTTTTATGTCAGCCCATCAATGTGCCTGTGTTATATTATGGCATTTGCTTCCTCTGAAGTGACATGAACTGTTGCTTTATTTCATATCCTGAAAAGATGCCACAAGTGAGGTCTGACCTGCCCTTTTTCTCTTTGTAGAGTCCTGCATTTCTGTTCTGAAGGAGCCCTGTCCTCCTTTACCTCCTTTTAAATCTGCTCTTGCAGAAAAAAATAATAGCTCTATTTGTTTCTATCAAGTTTGCACACTGGCCAAGTATGTGGCATAATGAGTGTGTGTATTTGTAAAGACATATTTGTCATCTGTGCCAGGATGTTGGAGTTTCTGGTAGGATTATTTTGGTGTTCACTACATTTTTGGCCTGGAAGTCTCATGGAATCTCTTGTGATTTATTTTCCAGCTGGAATTGCTTCCTAGTAGTGATGAAGAAATAATTTCTTCTGGCTGAGAAACCCTACATTGGTAGACCTTCTGTCACAGCTGTCACACACAAGGAGAGAAAATGAGTTATTTGCAGAATCACAGGATGGGTAATGCAATGATGCCATTATTTGAGTGCACAAGGATGTTCTAGCTGCTGAGCTGATGAAGAAAATCCAGACAGCATTTATTTTATAAACTCCATGTCTTTCTCTTTTAAATGTTCCATTTTCACCTACCATGAAACAACAAGAACATTTATACAGCCCAGAAGATGAAGCCACAGGTAGAACAACCAATTTTCTGTTCTCATGTGATCATTTTCCCAGCTTCAGTTTTAATTTGATGGGAAATACCAAAAAACATTTGGAGGAGTTTGCCCTAACTCAGCTGTAATCAGAAATACTGATTTTTGGCTGATTTCAATGCTTGTGTGCTTACTTGTGGTTCCCTCAAAGACCTGAAAAATAAAAATAAATACATTTTAGCAGATTTTCTTCCTTGTATTCAGCTGTCATCTCTTGCAACATCCTTAAATATAAATGTTTGAAAGCTGTGGTGTCCTGTGAGCGAGCTGCTGCCACTGGGGAGAAGCAGGAGAAACCCTTCCCTCTCTGTGCTCTGATGGTGTTGATCACACAGGACATTTAGGATTTTCTCCTCTTCTGTGTGTTTTGCCTCCTTACTAACTGCAGCAGCATCAAATTTTTAAGTCCATACCCACTTTCCTAATTGCTGTGACATTTTGGGTTGAGCTCCATCCTCTCACCTTACAGTCATTTTCCTTGTTGTAACAAGGAGGGTGGGTGAGCCCTTCCTGTCTTGCAGAGATGGAGGAAAAATTTGAATTCTGACACCAAGTTTGTGTCAGAATTCAAATCAGAGAATCTGTCTGGTGTCCTTGTCACAGGTTATGCCTCTTCTTGTCAGCACAGGGGTGCTTGGAGCATCTGTAAACTTCAGGACTCTTTTCTGCCCGCTCCCCTCTCCCTGTTCTGGTGCACTGAAGTTTTCCTGTGCCCATATTCCACCTGCTCCTGCTTGTCTCGATGCCTTCTGGCCATGCTGTGATGGAAAGGGCTGCCTCAGGGCTCTGAGAACTTTAAAGGAGGTATTGGGAGGTGTTAGAGCCTTGCAGATTTATAGAGTTGTTGCTGGACATCATAAGTCTGTGAACTTAAAAAAAATTGCCTCGGGGATGTGTGGGTTTAAGGGCTGAAGGATTTAGGGATTTAAACATCCTTTTAATAACTAGGTAACTCACCTTTAGATCTTCCAAAAAAAAACCCAAAAAAAACCCCACCAACCAAAACACCCCTATTAAAAAATTATCATGCTGGACAGCTACAGTAGACAGGACAAAATTAGATCTGTCTTCCCAAAGTTTTATTTGAAATATGGGATGTCACTCTGTACCACTACAGTTCCCAGCAAGGTGTAGATTTATACCAGGGGCAGAGACAGAATTTCAGTGGAGAATGTGAAATTACAAGGTTGATCTACATTAGCAATTATTTTTGGAAAAATATTCTGAGATTCTTACACCTTAAAAAAATTTTACTTACTGTGTTTATTTATTTTTAACCAATACTGGAGTACTTTTAGTTCTGATATTCCTCAGGGTGGAAAGTCATCTCAGCTGCTGTCCAGTGACTAGTCAGGGAAGAAATCAGTGAGTTATCCTAGGTGTAATGGAGTTTACAGGTAAGTTCAGCAGTTCAGCTCAGAGAATAAGGACATCAATTGCTCAGGTGTCTGAGGACTGCAGGACTCTGCAAATCAAGGCTTGACAGAGGTGCTGTGTTGGATGAAGGCAGTGCTCAGTGAGCCTTGCTGTGGGCACAAACAGCTCCTCTTTGTATCACAGCTGCTTCCACTCCTTGACCTGTGCTCACACTGCTGAAATCTTCTTATGAGGAAAGGTTTGATTGAGAGGGCCATTATTCAAAAATGTAATAAAGTCAGGGGTGTGAAGGAGCAGAGGTCATTTAGATGTCATTAGTTACATGCTATTAAATGGAGATTAGCTTGTGCTCATTACAGATTGAAGAAAGTACTCCTGGCTCTCTCTTCTGAGTGTGTTGGGCAAAAGAAACAAACATAATAAGGAAACTATTGTTAGTGGTTCATTATAAGAACTGGGTTAAGACTGTGTTGTTGGAAACTCAGTCATAGCAGGGAGGTTTGTCACCCTGGAGAAATAAATGCAGTCTCAGTCTCTGACAGCAATGCTTTTATAGGCTCCAAGGTAAAAGAGATCCTGTTTCTAAGCCACGTAAGATAAGGTTCATAATATGGGATTCTAATACCAACCTGAAGAAGTTTATTTGTTGCCTCAGAAATTCCACAGAAGAAATAGCAAATCATATAGCACAACAAATGATGTAAAACCCCCCTAACTTCAAAATTCAAAGCACCACATTCATAGTCTTCAAAAAAAGCTTTGTGATTTTTTCACACATTGAAAAGGAAACCCAGTAGTCAATTATGATCAAAGGCATCTCAGACCTTCTCTAGCCCTCTCCAATAAGTAGCTCATTTCGTTTTCCTACTCCAATTCCAGCCCAGGCCACAGTGATAAAATAATGACAAAGCTGCACTTGAGGGATTGTATCACCCAAAGCTTTCCTTTCCTTTTTCTTGAGCACTTATTAATGTGTAAGCAGGCTTTCCTTATTACCACAAGGCAGATTGGTTTCTGTAAGAACCAGTCTGGTGAGAGACCTTCAAAAAGCCTGCTGAGATTCACATTCAGTTTTACCTAATATATTTAAATTTCAGTAGTTTTATAAAAAAAGAGTGGTGAGACAAACATTTTATATATTAATTTAAAATTCATGTTTTCTTTGTGGGGAAAGAAGCAGGGAGGAAAGCAGGATGAAAGGTGACCTTAAAGAAGGTGTTTAACAGACCAGGTGTACTACAATAACTTTATATATATATATATTTTAATTAATATATATATATATATATATATTAGATATTTTGAAATTTTACAAGTGCAAATTAAAGATGTATTTCTTTGTATTTCTTTATTCTGTTATTCTTCTCCCTCACTCCCCCATTTTAAATATAATTTTCTACAGTGTGGCCTGTAGCAAGACTAGTCAAGATTCCCAATAAATAACAAAAAGGATGTAGATGTGGAAAGGTTCAGTTCCACTGTCTTATTGCACTACCCTGTGCTTTTAATTTCAGAAATTAGCAGCAGTGCCTACTAAATCCCACACAGCCCTTCCCCTATCTGATAAAAAAAATGATGTGCATGACACAGGATATTTTGGATTCTCTCTAAAAGGAGAGGGTTAAACTGGGATCTTGAGATGATCTTTTTTAAAGTTTTGTAGTCTGGAGGAAAGTTAATTTATGAATTTTGCCATGGATGCATCACCTCTTCAAAATGTAATATTTTTTCAGTGACATTAATTCAGCAAATTGTGTTTTGTAAACCAGTTAGGACTAATTTGTAAAACTTTTCCCTGAACTTGAAATATGAGTTCATCCACTGCCAGCACTTGTCACCTTCTGGGGTTCACGTATTAAATAATGGAGTCTGAGGAATAAATGTAGCAACAAAGTGGCTTTATTAGGTTGGTGGCAATGAACAAGGAGAAGAATTAGAGTGAGGAGCAGAAGTGTTTTCTCTGTGTCCCATGGAGGCAGAGAAGCTGTGACCTGTCAGGACCTTCTCTCCCTCATTTCATTGTGAACGATCAGCATCAGATCTCCTGCACGCCCCCAAACCTGCCTCTCCCATTTCTGATGTCCACAATATTTATGGGAGGTTCTTGCATTTTCACAGCCTCTATGAATCATTTTTAATTACTTGTGCATATGCAGAAACAGCAATTTAGGTCTTGTGGAAACTGATCTTTTGCAGCAGATTTATTTAGTTCTCTGCAATACTGCTATAACTAATTTATACATGGCTGAGCTCTGAAACAAACAATTTGTTCTGTAGGAAGGGAGATTTTGCAAATAGGAATAAATGTAATTAACGACAGCAATATTTCATGATAATTTGAAAAAGAATTGGTTTGGGGTTTGATTACCATTTATATGTGCATTAATTTACAGTACTTCAAAACGTACTACTCTCTGGTAGCAATTAATTTTTAACTTTTTCATGGCAAAGATCTACACACAGAATTCAAAAAACATGAGTGAGTCAGGCCTGTAAGATCTCAGGAAAGCACTAAGAGTCAGAGTATGCACGTCTAATTCAAGTATGGTTTAATAAAGTTTTAATTACATGTTAATTATTTATTCATTTAACATTACATGTTAAATATTTATTCATATCAACAATTTATTAAATTGTTTATCCTCCTATTTTATCAACATCCTCAGGTGTCCCAGCCTAGGAGCTGCAGTTCTTTCAGTGGCTGACAAAACTTCAGGCAGTGAAGTGCTGCAGTGCAGGATTGCATTTAAGCTAAAGTTGTTGAGATGACACTTTTAGGTGGAGGAGGAGGAGGTCTTTGACACTTCGCAGTACCCAAATTTGTGAATTTTAAAGCTTCTCTGACACCCTAAAAGTAAAGCCAGTACATTACCAAGGAGCAATACTGAAGTAAAAATTTCACCCTGTACTTTTCTTGATGGCACCAAGGCTCATTTTGAAGTATTCAAAAAAATAAAGAATATCTCTCAGAGATGCCTTCCTCCCACCCATGGAGGAGTCCTCCTGTTGAATGAGTCTTTTAAAGACATTTTTCCTTAATGTGCACAGAGAAAGCTCAGCCCCAAAATTCTCTGGAGTGTTCCAAACAGCAGCACAGTGTAATCAGAATGTTTTGTTCTGAGACCTGCTGAATCACAAGATGTGGTGATTTTGGCCTTGCAAACTGTGCACTGAACACCTGTGTTGAGTGAGTGGATTTTATATCATTGCTCAAATCAAGCTCTGTTCATTCAGCTGGGTTTTCTCTCATTCTCTCCTGCACTGCTTTTTCTTTTAAAATTATAATTTGCAAAAGAGGATGTGGCACTATCATAGGGGCTTACCCTGTTGTTCTGTACAGTCAGCACTTAAACCTGTATATTCTGTAACATTAGTAATACTCAGAGTTTATTCCCAGAGTCTAATACTGTATAATGATTTCACCTCTTTTATGGGTAGCATGCAGTGTCCACGCTATCTTATTTTTATGCAGTTTTTAAAAAGGAAAAGCAAAATAATATGTCATATACCAAGCTTTATTTAAAATCTCCCCTTCTGAATTTTCCTCCATTATTTTTATATGACTTCTCTGCCATGCCAGGTTCATACAGAAGTGTCACAAAATCTTATGCTGCATAAAATAATAGCAATGCAGTTTAGATTATAGTTAGAAAGTGCAACCTCTGAGAAGAGTTTCTTGATTCCAGATTTTGGATGGGGCAGGTGGGAAGACCCTGGCAATCAAACCTATTTATTCAGTTGATTAATTAGCAAATCAGCTTTTTCATGAATATGGTATGTTAATTCCCAGGCAAGCATAAAAGTGAGT